TTAACACTTCCGTTAGTTTAATAAATTTTAAAATCAGAATCATTATAAAAATGTCATTGGGGGCAATTAAATCAAGAAAATAATTAAAAAAAATAAAAGTAATGAGTTAAACTCTGAACTACTATTTAATGAGTCTTTAAAGAATTTCTTTTTTTATATTTCTTATGTAATATAAAAAATAAAATAATTCATTCTACTTTCATAAAAGTGCATAGAATAAACTATACTGCTTATATAGGGTTCAAAATAATTTATTTTTAAACAAACAATATACCAATTTCTTGACTATTGCACTGCTGATGTTTTTTTAATTTTTTTGTTAAATTTGTTCATGAATGGCATTATAATACTGTTGCTGACCTATGATATCGCAGGTTGCAAAACTATATTTTCCACATTATTGCACATTTGCTTCCTCCTGAGGTCGCCTAAGACTACTAAAAAAAAAAACAAAAAAAAAAAAAAAAAAAAACTGTGTGTTGCTACCATTACCAGTCACTCTAACAACTTAAGTCTCCACGTAACTTGTCCAAATATAATTTAAAAAAAAATTTTTTTTTTTAATGAGAGGAGAAAGTGTGAATTAAGATTAGAAAGAGAAAAATAAAGAAACATCATTTCCATAGTGTTTTAAGCAAAAAGTAAGTTTTACTTTTCCAGTTAATTAATCCTTAAATTTACAGTAAATTTTACTCGTTTACTTTGAAGCATATTTCTAAGACAAATACTTAACTAGAGATTTTTTAATTTATTTTTCATTATAAAATGAGAGAAAAGTGAATACTTTTTTAAAATTTAGCTCTAAGCTATTTAAGCTTTGTTATCATTCAAATTCAAATAAAAAAACAAAATTTTACTAACAAAGAGGCATTTAAATTATTTTAAATGTGTTTTAAAGGGTTTTTTTTTTTTTTAACTCAAATTTGGATGGTAACTATTTCAGATCTTATGCAGTACCTGATTATTGTAGTAACCTTGCACCAGGTTTTACAGGTTTAATTGACACATTGTAAAGATTTAAAAAAGAAAAAGTTGAGTGGAGGCACGACATGAGAATTTAAAGATGGAAGGAAATTGCTGTTATTTGGACTCATGTCCTCGTCTTTGCTGTTATCAATTTATGAACCTAAAATATTAGGTTTAACTTTCCAAATTCTAAGCTCAGGATTGTCCCATTGAACAATAACCTCAACCTCATGAAGAACACTGATTTATGAATTTGATGGCAAACTGTAAAGAAAGACAAAGGAAGAGAAAGAAAGGGAAGCGGAAGGAAGAAAAACAACATTGTCTTCTTCCTTACATGTATTTTTAAAGACACTTAAAAAAAAAAAAAAAAAGACAAGACTCTTACTCAAAGTAAATTTTGTAAATAAAAATATTTATTAAAATAACAAAATATTTTTTACAAAATTGTGCCCCTTAAACTATCAAGGCAAATTAACAGTTCTTTGCAATCCAAATCTGATAGTTCATGAAAAACGATTTTTTTCCTTAACAAAGAATTTTAATTTTCTTTCAGTGCAAATCAGTTTCTTAATGATATTTACTTACATCAAAAAATTCACAAATTCTATATTTCAAATGTAGAAAGTCAAAGGATGACCTACCTCAGGTTAAGCTGGTTCTCAGAGTCCTTTAAGACAAAATATTCATGTTTGGAACAGGTACGATCAAATATGAGATAAATTCTCACGTGTTTACAAAAGACATTTTTCATGAAGAGAATTCTTGTAGGTTTTTAAAGGTTCATTCAAATAACAAAAAAACTCTAGTTTACAAAAAGACATTCTTTGTAAAGAGAATTCTTGTAGGTTTTTTTTAAGTGATCTTCTTCAGCAATAGTAGGCGCAGCAGTTTTTACCATCCTAGCTCACAGCTTTCTCACCCAAGGTGATGCTTTCTCCCAAGATGACTGCCTTTATGCAGTCAATCCTTTCAACAACAGCAGACTTTACATGCTTTCTGACTTTGCAGTCAAAATTTCCCCTTTAAATTGGGGGAAAAAAAAAAAAAAAAAAAATAATTCCAACCAGATCAAAAAACCAATTCCTATGGGGAACTTGTTGCGGCTGCCTTTGGCCGCTCCTTAAAGCGGAAGAGAACAGGGCATTTCAACCTTGACCTTTTGATCATGTTCCCTACATGCTGGCAATTTCATTTTAGAGATGAGCTAATTACCTTTTAGTTCATTGGTATTACAAACCTATTCATAATATATCTCTAAGCATTTTTAGACCTTAGTTCTTGCGTAGCAAATCTCAACTCATTTTTTAGAGAGATTTTATAGCATTTTAGCGAGACCATTTCTGTTGTTAGTCTCCTTTAGCATAACACAGCGACTTCTCGCTGAATTCCTGGTCAGTGCCTGAACAGTCGGTATGCAGGCTCCTGGCCTTTTGTGGCCAGGACGCTAACCAGGGCTGTGTATTAATTTATGCTCCCATTTTTTTTGTCTGCCAACTGGACGTGAGTTGGATCTACCTTTCTTTCTCTCTTTACTTCTGGCTCCTTGCCCATGTGCAACTCTCGGCTTTCCGTCCCTACTGGCTGTCCACACGTTGTCCATAATCTTTCCCGTACACTATGGATATGATTATTACGGGAGGTTTTGATATCAGACTCGATCAGCAGACACGCAACGCCAGCCCCAGATATTCAATATGCTCAACAACATTGCAACGCCAGCTCCTCATTCCTTCCCAACTCGTCCAGTTGGAAACCAGACCAGCCGATCAACAGCGATCATCTACGGCGACCAGCCAATTTTCCCCGTATATTATCGGTTGTAATTACTACGGGAGGTTTCGACACCAACCTCGACCAGCAATGCCTGCACTGCAACGCCCAACCGTCGACATGACCAGAACGTCTGCACCTCGACTCCAACCAACGACACAACCATGATTGACAGACCAATATACCCCACTGTCTTCTTTATATAATAAACTTAGCATTAATCATCGTTCTGTTGTCCATTTTGTTTCACCTTGTCAGATTTAACGTCTTCGATACGAAAAACGTTAGCGGGCCTCTTGTGACCTCATCACCTTACGATATGGGGGCGCTCGGGCCGTGGTTTCATATCGCCCCCCCCTCCAGGGGGTCCGCTACAAACTATAATTTTTATCTGCATTGTTTAAAATCTCAAGAATCACTATCCAATTAAACTGTGCCTGTTTACAATTTAAATTTGGATGAATTTTAACATCATCAAAGCAAAGTCCATCAAGGACAAGGTGTTTTAAGAGGAAATGCAAGAACAATCTACTCCGGTAGATTTTTTTTAAATAAAGAAAGTGTTCAATTGATCGACAGCCACTTGAGGAAGGCTGAAAAGTTGTGAGAACGACAAAGATAAAGACATTTTTATTCCGAATGTAAATAACTCCTCATCCCAGAAATTCCAACAGAAAATTGTTAGTGAAAAAAAAAAAAATCAACAATATTAAATTTAAAAATACGTTACTCAACTACACCTCCGAAAGCACAATAATACACATCTTTAGAAATTTTATGTCTACGTTTTGGTTTAGTTAGTAACTATGTTTTTCCTTTCTTTTATTGTATGTATTATTTACTGCTCATGATGGTAAATAAAAAATTGCCCAGTTCTCTAAGCACTGGACTTTTTTTGAAGACATCAGAAACTGTCTCTGACCCTCGCCCTAAGTGCAATAAGGAGGTGCTGTCTGGAGGCGTAGGGAAACATTCACTTCTTTTTGCTTCTCGATCAAATGGAAGAGATGTTGTTATTTAAGAACAACACAATTTAAAATTCCAAACACTTCCTGGTTAGAAAAATATGAAAGTTTTTTTTTCTCATCTGGTAATAAACATGGTGTTATTTTATTGTCGGAAAAGACAAATTTCAGAAATAATATTTTTATTTTATTTTACGTTTCACAACGCTTGTTGCTATCTGTCCCCTTTTCTTCAACCTCGAAACGACGAAAATGCTTACAAAAATTTTCAGAGAAGGAGTCACCAAAAAAGATGCATTGACATTTTTCTTTTAAATAATTTTCACAAAAACATTTCACAAAAATTGAAAATGATAATTACAAGAAATGACTAAGGAAAGTTAGAACAGATACTGTAGAAAAAAAAATATAGCTGTGTAAAAAAATTGGAGACTCAATTTATTAGAATGTTTTGTCCAGTGTTATTTTACGTTTTTAAAACTTTAGAGTAGACTTAGAGCGAGAAAGCAGATTTTTTTTTTAGCTAACTGAATTGAAAAAAGCTAAAAAGGTCAAAACAAAAAAGGGAAGATTCCTTTTTCTTTGAGACTTGAGCGTTACGTTTTACTTAACCGTTCTTATGTGAAGTGCTTAACTTCAAAATCCAGTTTTTCATCTTTGATAAATGGAAGGGGCACTAAATAAAGTCTCGCATAGAAAAACAAAAATATTATTTGATAATTTCAAATTAAGAATTCAGGAAGGTGAAAGAAGAATTACTGATTCAATCTGGTACAAGAAAAATATCAAAAGAAAAAAAATCAAAGAAAATTTTTTTTTTTAATAACTCTCAATATCTAAGTGAAAGATAGTTAATTTCTCATCCAGTCGATTTCAATTCCACCTTTGAAACCGAAATCTACAAGGAAAAATAAATCCTGATTTTCTTGAATTTCCGAACATTTTTCTTCCCCCACCAAGCAAAGTGTGTACCTCTAACGAATTCCATCTCCTTTAGTTTAAATAAATATTTGTTGTTTAGAATTTCTCATTTTCTTAATAAGTGCATTATTTGAATTGTGAAAGTATTTTTAATTTTATATCCTTACTTATTCTCTCTCGAATATTTCATTTTGGTGTGATACCAAAATGAAATATTCGAAGAAAAAAAAAAAAAAAAGAGACAAAAATCAGGTATCAGAAAATTAGCAGTTTGAGCGAAGGAGGAAAGCTGTAATTGTCAGTTTTAAGGTTAGCGGTTTACAAAAAAGTTGATACAGATTTCTGATTAATTCAATAAACTAAAAAAACACTTACTTGTTCTTTTGGTAGCCGAGCATTTATGAATATTTGACTGACACAACTAGTTGGTGGATTAATGGGCTTTAACGAAGACAGTTCTTTTTTTGATTGATCACCGCTACCTCAAACGGTGTAACAGCAATTTATTAACCTTTTACAATTACTGCTTTTTGTATCAGTAACAAAGAAAGCTAAAAAGAGAAAAAAGTTAAAGATTCTGTCTCGTAATCGGTCTGTAATGCTCATTGTCGCATGTTTGCAATGTATCAAAAAAATGTAGCCAAATTTAAAACAATTTCGTCATAAATGTATTGACGGTAGATATTTTTTTTAATTATTTTTCGGTTGCAAGAAGAAGACAAATGTAGCTTGGGCTCGTTACGTACGAGCAAGCAATGGGATGAATTTATTTTTAAATGGTACTGAAAAATTACAAGTAATTTTTTAAATAAATAAATATTAAGTGTAGATTTTTTTTTTATCAGTAAAAGAAAATAATGTATTTTAATTAAATTATGCAAGCACCAACACTCAAAAAAAGATTTTTCTGAGTTTTTTTTATTGCATTACTTTTTTTTTTTTTGGAAAGTTTCGGGACGAGTTTTTTTTCAGTATGTTCACACCTAACTTGATATTGCATTTTTACCGAAACAAGATCTTCTTCAGGGATGTTTCTCAAACAGGAAAACATTCCGTGAACGTCCATTTAAAATACACACGAGATATCGAAAAGTAAAAAGTGAAAAAAAAAACTCAAAAAATATTTCAACTAAGTTTCTCGTAAAGTTGAATATTATGTTCTTTTCCAGTATTCTTTTAATTCTTACATTTGTTAATAATACCCACCTCTCTCTGCCGTGGCATCAGTGGAAATAAGATTTTTAATTTTATTCTTCTTCTTTTATGTGCCCTGTCCCTTCAGGACATTGGCGATCATGGCTCTCCACTTCTCACTATCCCTTGTAGTTCTCTATGTTTTGTCTTTTTGCTACTTATCCCAAAGCCTGTTCTGCCATCCACTTGCTTAAGCCTGCTAGGTATGTCACACATTGCTTTCCCTTGTCTTTCTTTCACTTTATCTGCCCTGTGAGTATCAGATTCTCTAAAAATTCCTTTCTCATTATGTGTCCCAGAAATTTTAGCTGCTTCTTCCTGATGTTAAGTATAAGCTTCCTTCTTGTTTGCATCCTCTCCAAAATCTCATCATTGCTCACATATTTGATCTATGGCACCCTTAGTATCCATCTGCCATATAGGAGGACAGATATCACATAGCAGTTCAGTACACTTTTCTTTGTTATCAACAAAATCCTCCTGTTTCTTAATACTCTGCCTGGCTTTTGGAATGCATCTTTGACCATCCCAATACATCTTCGGATTTCAGCATTGCACTTACTGCCCTCTATCAGAATACTTTTCAGATGTTTAAATTTCTGCACTTGCTTGATTTTAGTGACCACAACCTGTAAATTGCATTTCAGGCTCATCTTTTTACTGGTTACTGTGCATTCCATCTTGTAGTTTATGCTTAGTCCCTTCTTCTCACTCTCCTTTGCTACCTTGTGTAGGAGGTTTTGTAATTTCCTTTCTATGTCTGCTATCAGCACTGTGTCATCTGCATATCTTATGTTGTTAAGATTGTGGCCACTGATGAATCTTGCTAGTATTTCCAGTTCTCTCAGAATTGCCTTAATGTATAGGTTGAATAAGTCTGGTGAGAAGACATATCCTTGCCTTACACCCCTTTCTATTTTTGCATATCTGCTAAAATCATTTTTTATTTGTATGCAGGCAGTTTGCTACCAGTAGAGGTTTTTGATTATTCTAATATCTTTCCCAAATATATCAAGGTTGCTGAGCAGTTCCAACAAATCTTTGTGGTGTACTTTGTGCATTTGTATTGTGCACATCCTTCTGTGTTTGTATTGCTCTTTCTGATAGCATTCTGAGCATAAATATTGTGTTCCTTGTTCTAGTGTCATTAACAAACCTGCACTGTTCTTGTCCTATCTCTGGCCTGATTCTGCTGTATGCTCTATTCATCAGAATATGGATGATGAGTTTTGTTAGGTGACTCATTAGTCTGATTGTTTGGTAAAATTCACATTCATTTGTGCCTAATTTCTTAGGCAGTGCTATGAAAATAGATCTGCTGAGATTTTCCAGTATATCATCACACTGAAAATGAAATACAATATGAAGGAACAAATAGGAAACATTACCAACCATGTTTCACTTCTATTTAAGCTTCATCAGAAATGAAATATGGAAGTGAAAAAAAAAAAAGGGAAACTTGAAACCTTCATGCCCACAAAAAAGAATGGTTTTTCCATTAACACCATTATTATTTTTAACTACATTCACTCCTTGGTAATTTTTATTATTTGTAAAAGTGATGAAAGTGAATTTATATACATTTTTTTTTGTTTTCAAGAATTTACAACAAACAAACTTTATTTATTAGATTGTTTATTTACAAGAATAATTTCATATTTACAACAATCTAAAAATTAATACAATTAAATGCAATATTTAATATTTATCAATTTATAAAGAAATAAATATGAAAACAATTTTTTTTATTCATAAATTTATAAACATTTACTAAATTATTAACATATGTGAAACAACCTTAAGGAAATTCTTATTATTTATTATTTTATAAAGTTTGAATCAATTAGCTGATGTTTTGCCAATCATTCTAATAAATGATCTAATAATGTGTAAATAAACAATCTAATAAATAGCATTTATTATTTTTATTGTCAATTCTCAAGAACAAATACAATGTATAAATTCACTTTTATATATATTTAGGTTTTATTACAATTCTAATCATTGCTTGTTAAAACAATAAACATTACCAAGGAGTGAAAAAATGATTAAAAATAATAAAAAAAGAAACGAAAAACATCCTTTTTTTTTTTTATTTGTGAGCATGAAGGTCCAAGTTTGCTAGAAAATTATGGTATTTTTTTATTTTTTGTGTTGTTTGTTTTTCATTGGTTAAATAGACCTCACATGTATTTGTCTTGTCAAATACAACCAATAAAAAGCAAACACAAAAATAAAAAAAATCCTTCCACTGTGCCTGCTAGGTGGCATTTTATTGAGGACTATAAAAGAAAGGACATAAAACCTTTCTCCCTCTGATATGTAAGTGCAGAAGTTTAAATATCTGGGAAGTGTTTTAAAATAACTGTCATGAGTTAATTACCCTTAGTTCCTTGATCCTTCACCAGGGGTCTCTCCCCTTGCTATAAATACTGGGTGACCTTTTGCCTCGATCTCTTTTTCCCTCAGAGCCTTGGGCATATTGTTTTATGAAAGTGGAGGTGAGGTAATTCTTTCCTTTCTTTCTTCATTTCAGCTAATACCAATGTGTGAGCTTTCACCAATACAGTGTTTCCCAAATTCTGGGAACTGAGCTTAAAACAATGACCAATACACATTACATATGAACACTCACCACAATACACACACACATAATATTCACCACACAAACTCAATGTAACTGTCCACATGCTTTTAACTTGTTAATACATATATTTGTTTATATATAATTTTTTTTTCTTGTTTTTCTTTGGACTTAGTCCAACATTCTCATGTAGCTGGACCAGCTAGCACTTTGTTTTTAACCCATTGTGTTCTTTTACATCTTCACTTTTTTTGTCCCCTTTTCATAACACTGAAATCTGAACATACATTAGGATCACTGAAAGAAGCATTCCAAAAAACTAGGCAAAGAGCTGAGAAACAGAAAGAAATTTGTTTGAAACAAAGAAAAGATTGCTGGATTGCTGTGATATCCATCTCTTATATGGCAGTGAATGTTGGACAATCTCCCCATGAATGAGGAGAAAATTGGAGGCAATAGAATTCTGGTTTTATAGAAGGATACTGAAAATTGCATGGACAGAGTGAGTAAGCAACCAGGAAGTCTTAGAGGAAATGGCAACAGAAAGAACACTTCTACACAGAATCAGGAAGACACAACTGAAATCCCTTGGATGCATAATGAGGAAAGAGGACTTGGAAAACTTAACTCTTACAGGGCATATTGAGAGCTACTTACCGGATGAGCTTGTGTGAATGGATGGAGGAAGGAGACAGGCTAATTAAAGGGAAAAAAAAAACTAAATTTAGTAAGGGGAGAAAGGACCACAGGGGAGAAGGAAATTGTGAATAGCCATGATCACTTATGACCTTAACGGACACAGCACATTGAAGAAGAATAAATGTCCAAACTACAGGGTCATTGCCAAGATGTTAAATATCTGATAAGCCCTTGATGTAAGGAAGACAGACGGACAAAATTTTCTGGACCTCCTGCTAAACCATTGTTTCCACCCCCAGACTCTGATGTTCTGTGGAACCAGGGTGAACAATAACTGAGCACTACTTAAATAAGGACTAGATGAGATATCCCTTGATACAGGCATTGGAATGAGAACAATCTAATTGTAGATTAAATAAAGGGTTCAGTTTAAATTCCTTGTAGGTTACCCAAATTGATATATGAAGGTCAAAGGGCACAGTCTCTGAAACATTGTGATAACAGCAGAGATCAGGACAATAGTTTGTATGTAAATAAAATTATTAATTTGAAAAGTTTCAATTGTCAAGCATGTATTATTAGAAATCTGCTATTTATCATGTAACATGCATTCAAATAGAGTTAAGCATTTTTCTGTTAAATATTCATGTGTATTCTTGCATGTAATGCTAGGTCCATGTGTCACATAAAAATAAAAAATAATGTATCAAGTCGTGAATTTGAGTAAGGTACAAATTGAAGTAGTAAGAGAGGTCATCAAGAAATCTTCTTGTGTTGAGTCTATTTCATGTTATGAAAAATTTTCACAAGTGAACTAAAAAAAATTTTTTTTAATTGTTTTCTCCCAAGCAAGGTGACAGTGCCACTAAACTGCAGGGGGGTTACAGGGAGTGAAAGTGAAAGAGAGTGAGAAGACTGAGAATGAGGAGGATTGTGGAAAGGACGAAAAAGGAACAGGGTTCAAGAAGACAGAAGATGGCAATTAGCATTGCATTTAAATTTTTGATGATTGTAGTTATCAGGGAAGCAAGAAACTGGAAGGGAGTTTCACAGATGGGAAGTGCAAGAAATTGTTAGAGTAGAAGTGGAGGTTACATCAATATTTGTAAGAATCATCTCAACAATTTCTTAATTGTAAAAATTTTCTATTTACCTGTTTTTTACTTTTCCTTTTTGGATGAGTTGAATATTTTTACAAGGCCAAACTTTCACTCTGTCAATATTCCATGACTAAAAAATCTATTAGTAATGTACTGTAGTGAAATGGTTTAAAATGTTATACACAATGAAAAACAGTTTTGTAGAACAAAAGGCCTCTGGATTCTTGGATAACATTAATACATGTGCAATTAGAGAAGCTTAACCATTTTCAGGTTTTCAGATGAAATAAAAATTGATCTTTTAGGGTACAAACCAGCTATGGAGAGAAAATAGAGATGCATAAGTTTAAAGAAACATCACTATCCTTACAGTAAAACAAAGTGGAAATATCATAGCTTCGTGTTTTTCTTTTAACAATACAAGAACATGACACAACAACTAACAGATACAGCACAAACTCTTGTTCTTTATTCGCAATGCATTTGTATTTGGGAAGCTATTTTTTTTCTTTTTGGTACAATTCAAGCTTGGATCTTTAAACAAGTTAATGACAAAGCATACAGCTTAAGTAACACATAAATGGTTTATTCAGAACAATATTATGGTGAAGCTTGAAATATTGAAGTCATCAGAGGACCCAGTGATTATCTGAAAATCACTTGTATAAAAGAGTGGGCCAAAATTTGAAAAAAAATATTATGAAGTGTTTGTGAAAAGTTAGAAAAAAAACCTATCCAAGTAATAATTGTATACCAGGGTTAGGCAAATAAATATTAATCCTGTTAGTCATATGGGGTGATTTGTTACCCCCATATTTTTAAAGTACTTGTAATTCCTAATTGGTTTCTTTTGTTCCCTCCAAACTACTCTGCTGACTCAGTGGGGTGTGTAGTGCATGGTGTGGTGCAGTTATTATGGGAGGCAGATGCCAGGGGACTATCCATTGCCAGAAATCTAAGATGACTAATGCAGAGCTAAAATATGAAAATGATGTGTCCAAAATACATTATTTTCGTTCTTATTTTATTCTACACTAGTTTGGTACTTGTCACTTAAATGACAGAAAAACAATCAAATTTCAAATCTAAATTGTTTGTCCATTTCAAATGCTATTAGAAAATATATTAAGTTAAAATACAGGAGTGATAAAACCAACTTCAAATGGCCATACATCACAACTTGCTTTTCCCATTATCCGGGGTTGTTGCCAGACAGAAAGGGAAAATAAGCTTCAAAATACAGATGTCCATTTCAATTTCATTCAAATTGTTGATGTACATTTACAAAATTAAAAAATAAAGCTTAAAAATAATTGTATTTATCACCAAATAATTTCTGAAAAGTTCAATAAACTGGATTTGTTTTAGCATTTAAAAACTTGACACATCTGACTTTATGAATTTATTGCTCAGTTCAGAGTAGGGGTTGTCCAGATTGAATGGCAGGGAAATATATTATTTTAGTGCCTTATTTCAAACTGTCAAATTGTGTGTGTGTGTGTAAATTAAATAACACAAGCACAAATAAGTCATATGCGAATGCAACATCAAACAGTATATGATAGATAAAGAATCAGCTTTTTTATTATAACAGATTACTTTTGACAACATGTAATTTTTTTTTTTCTTAGTAATTGTAAATTTTGTATCAAAATACAATCACCTGTGTAATTTTAAAGTAAATCTAAACATTGGATTATTTTTTTAAAATCATCTCACCCCATGTAAGGCAGTAAAGCCACTAAAAATGTTAGCCCAAGATGCAATGAGTCACTCTCCCAAAAGCTTAGCATCAGCCATACTGAAGTACATACAAAATAAATATTTTGCAGATGTTCAAATACTTCTTTACCTCTCAGGCACTGTATATGGATACTCATTGCTATATATCTTTATATTATTATTATGGAGAATGTTATAAGGACAAGATGAAAAAATGACTATAGGAGGATTTTGCCAATAAGTAGAAGATGGTACTTAATTAACATGTGAATTTTCTTCTGTTCTTCATTTATTTTAAAAATCATTCAACTCCAAGCACAGTGATAAAGAATTCAGAGGTTACAGAGAGTGAAGAAAACTTTACTGAGGAGAAGAGACACTAAAAAGAATTGGATTCAAGGAGACAGAAGCTGACAATTGATATTACATTTAAATTTTTGGAGATTGTGGTTGACAGGAAAGCAAGCTGAAAGAAAGTTCCACAGGAATACAACTTCCTTCCTAAACTTTTGTTTGAAATAGTATGAAAAATTAACATCTTGATTATATTATTTTCTTTTTGAGTTACAAGTGCTATCTATTTTAGTTGTTGAAAGTCCTCAAGTCATGTGGTTTCTGTTATTTGTGATTCTGTAGCACAAATCTACAAAATTCAGAGTGGTCTTCGCTAAGGCCTACAGACTTCATTTGCTCAAAGCCACTTTGAGAAAGCAGTTGTATAGAGTTGACAGTTTAGATATTTTTAAGTGGGTTTAATATAATGTTGGACATCCATACAAAAGTCTTGATATGATGAGGGTATTTAAGAACATTTTTTTTTTTTTTTTTAAATTTTTTAACAGTAAGGTTCACCCTGTTCAAGGCCTGGAGGTCACCCGAGGTAGTAGGCTACATTAAGGGGTAGTTTATGAGGATAGGAGAGGAAAATAATGTTTAACTCTAGACATGAACAGGTTAAGATTGCAGTGATCAGGGAAACGTCCTCTTTGGAGTGTTCCACAGAGCAGTGGTTTGCAGGAAGAAGCTGTTTGAGTGGAACTTACTTCTCACTAATGGAATACAGAGGGAAATGTGAGTAGTTTGCTACAATGTAAGTGGCATAGTGGGTCCTAGCTGTGAAGGTTAGACCTTGCGGAACCAAGAAATGTAAATAGTATTTAGGTTAAGGTTTTGTAGCAATTTGCAGTGTTGGGGGAAACTATTCCTAGTGCAGTCTATTGTTTTTTTGTTTCATATCTCTTCACTGTCAATCTCCAAAAGGTATTTAATGGACAGGTGTCAAATGAAGTGAGCAAATCTCTTCCTGATAGAGGTGAGTCTCAGTTATCAAAGTTAATTGAAAGAACACAATGGGACCACTTCATAACTGGTGAAGAGTGTTCACTAAGATGACTATTATAACCAGTGGGAATACAGTTAAGGTTTAGTAGGTTCAAAATACAATTAGTACATTATATATCCTTTTTATAAGTTTAGTTTATATTGAAATTGATTGTGTTGAGCAATGAATAATGAACAAGTGTTTAATTGTGTTGTATCTGTTGGTTGTCTAAAACTATCACTCAAACAATTGTGCTGAAGGACAATGACAAACAGCAGGAATTCTAGCAACAATAATCCAATTGATAACAGCAACAATGCAGATACAAGTTACATTGTTCTTAGTCAAATGAAAATTCCATATTCTTTCTAGACATAAACAAACCAACATACTATGGAATACATTTGACTTCAATAGAACATTTTTTGATTTCAAAATATTTAGACTGCTGGATCATTTTTAATTAAATTTGAAACGTTTATTCACTGAAATGTTAAAAATTGATTAACAGTTTATTTTTAAATTTAGAGATCATCATTGAATTTTAAAAATGTAATTATCCTTTTAGGCAAAAAGTTTCTTAAAACCCAACTAATGTCTTGATGCTTTATCTAGTTGAAAGATTTACAAAAGAAAAAGATATTCTTCTAGCTCTTATTTATTGTCTATTCCATATACAGGGTGTAGCAGAAATGCCTCTCACATAATGGTAAAACATTAGTGGCAAGGATGCCTTCATCTAGCTAATGTTTTACCATTATGTAGGAGGTATTCAAACTGAGGATTTGAAAGCTGATTTTCAAAGCAGGTTACTTACCCTGCAATTTTGACCAGTTGGCCTTGTACCTTACTAATCTTGATTGTATTTTACTTTGTAAACAATAAATTGGATAATAATAATAAAAGAAAATGCTTATTGAAATTCAGGAAATTACTATAAATATAAAACAAAAATAACCCCCCCCCCAAAAAAAAAGGTTAAAGAAAAAAAACATTTTAAACTAACATTTTTTATTCTCAGTTTATATTTACATATCTGAAAAAAGATATAAATTTGAGTCTTCCTGGATAATTTCACTGTAAGCCTTGTACAAGAAAGATGCAGTTAGGAATCCAGGTTTAAAATGGACAAGGATATCTAGTAATTAAGAGCTAATCAAATTTCAAAGTAAGGGATGTTTGAAATGTCATCTTCTGCATCTTCAGCAGTAGCGGCTGCTGCCTGTGCTGCAACAGACCCACTTTCTGATTTCACACTGACAGGCTCCAGGGTAGGATCTAGAAAAACAAAAAAAAATTCAACAGTATACAAATGTTACTAACACACACACGTGTGTGTGTGTGTGTGTGTGTGTGTTTTAACTTTTAAATTAAGAAAATTTATAAAATTGAAAAGAGGAGAAATAACACACAATGCTGATGTACAAGTTGGATGTTAAGTCCTTGACTCAACCCCCTTACCAGCAACCCTCAGATATGGCTGATATGGTAGTCTCTTAAGACAGAGTGGTAGAGAGTTTAATTCACATTGAGTACCCTAACATTGTAGTCTTATACCAGGCCAATTTGAGGTGTTCTAGTATTACTGTACTTGATAGCATATAAGACCCCCATTTTTATGTAAAAAAAAAAAAAAGAAGCGACACCTTAGTTCCTTATGTTACTTTTAACACAAAATATCCTCTTTTCACCAGTTATGTAAAAAACACTCAATGAGGATCATCAATCAACCATACTGAAGCAATGAGGAGAAATTGACAAGTTGAGTTTGATATGGATCATCATGCAATTTAAAACAACAGCAAGAATCTTGACTTTGCAAATAAAATCCAGTTTTTTTTATTTATTTAACTATTAGGGGAGGAAGTGGAGAGGAGGATGATTCTTATATGCCATCAAATATAGCATAGTTAATTTTAATAAAGGGTGCGATGAGTAAACAAACTGTCACCATTTTATATTTTTAATTTCATGCATGTGTTTTTGATTTTGTCAACTGCACCTTATAGTAGGGTCAGTTGGACACTGTCTTTGAGAAAAAGAGCACCATGATGCAATTTACTCAGCCAAAAATTTGGAAACAGTATCATGTACTGCTTGGCATTAACACCAGAAGTTCCAATACAAACTTTTCAGAGTGTTTGGGTGTCAATTTGAAGACAGTGTAGAAGATTCAGAAAGAGATGAATGAGTCTAATGATGATTATGAAGGTACAGCAACTCAGAAGTCACTGTGGTCATTTTGATAAGAACTACTAAATTTGTTGGTGAAGGGCTCAGACTCAACATGGAGGCCTACACCAAGTGCTGTGAGTAAGTAGTGCTGCCCTGGGTCAAGAGGGTGGCTTTTGGAAGACCTTATGTCTGCACCATGCGACACAAGCATGAGAACTTAATCATTGCTGTCAGACAATTTTTGTGACCACATCACCACTTACATCTGGCTACCTAACTCCACAGACTGCAACCCACTTAATTATTATGTGTGGGGTGCAGTTCAGCAAGAGATCAACAAAACTCCTTGTAATACCAAAGATGAACTGAAGGCAAGGATTATGGCAGCATTCACTAACTTATATAAGAAAACCATCCAGAAGAGTTGCAGGAGATTCTGAAGTCATCTAGAGACTGTAGTTGAAGCCAATGATGATTTTATTGAATAAATTTACTCTATTATTTCAAGGTATTTTTTGTGTAACTTTGGTAAATATATCTCTTAAAATGAGTTGTCAGCATTGTTTTCATTATTGTGTCATTTAAACGACAATTTATTCATTGCACACTGTAAATGCTCTTAAGTATAGATATTTTTATATAGAAAATCCTTACGCTCAGTCCTTATTAATTTATCCTGGTACTGAAGCAACCCTGTTGAATTGTTCAATTCTGAGTTTTTATATTTGAAAATAAAACAAATGATTTAACTTGCAGCAAACCAAGCTGACTAAATTGGGGAAAAAAAAAAAAAAAGTACTTATTTCTCTAAGGGTATGAATAACATTCCAGTAAACAATACCATCTTTATTTGACTTGTATGGTATTCATGGTCATATTTTCAGACTACCATTAATCACAAGACATCCAAACCCTAAGCTGTATGCAGATTGATTCATTTTCTATAACTTATCAAACTTTTGCAGGTTATTTAAAGCAGAAAATATTTTAGATTGTAATTTTTTTTTTTTTTTTTTGAGATAATGATTTAGCAATACAAGTCTTACTTTCCAATTAACAAATTCTGAGCCATTATCCATTACACCGCTGTCCTGGTATTCCCAAGTGGTTACCTATCTAGATACCAGTCAGATTTGATGTTGCTTAACTTTGGTGATCATATGGGAACTAGTGATTCAATGTGATATGACCATAAGTTGTAAAATATTCCCCCCCCCCCCAATAATCAGCCTCATAATTTGATACAATGTAGTATTTTGATACATATTTTTAAAAGGAAATAAATATTTCTTTAAAAATATCCTTAATGTGATTTTTGCCTGATTCATATAAATTTTAGAGTATCAATACAACTGCTTCACACAAACAAATTGTGATGCATTTTCACTCTTTTGACTTGATGTATTTAAAATTAGAATAATCTAGTGGAATCCTTATTTTAATGTTCTTTGTTTAGTATTTTTGTTCTTTTAAAAATTTTGTAGACCATCTGAAAAAAAATCATTAAGGGTTCATTCTAAACTATTTGGAACAAAGGCAAAATGAAGCCAAAACTATTTTATTTGCTTAACAAATTATAGGGGAGTATCAACTTTCAGCTTTATATTTTCTTAAGTTTCCAAAACAACAAAAGCATGACAAGTTCTTAAAAGAGAAAAAAAAAGGGGTTCAAGCTTAAAAATGTTCCCACAAAACAAATCTTCTATGACATGATCTTCAGACATGCAAAAATGTGGCAAAGGAAGTTAAAAAAAAAAAAAAAAAAAGCAATTAATTGCTTTCAATTATTTACATTATTTGGACTATTGTCCTCATCTTTATTGCTATATTACAATGTTTCAGCCATTGCACGCTCCGGCCTTCAGTTAAGGACACATGGCACAGTGGATAAAGGCGTTGGTTAGATCCAGTGACAGGACCCAAAGAATGTGAGTTCAATATCCGGTTAAGACAGTGGAGAACTTTCAGAGGGAAATTAACAGGAGATAACTGATAACTGACATCCATCAAACATGGCACGTGGAACTAGAACAGTCTACCCCAGTGAGCGAAATAAAGGGTTAGTTCGACATTTCAACCACCTGAAGAAGGCCGGAGCATACAACGGCCGAAATGTCATAATAAATATGGTGACAAAGATGAGGACAATAGTCCGAATAATGTACATAATACCTCATCTCAGAAATATAGACAGTCTAATTGCTTTCAAGTATAAAATAGACTGTCGCCACTCTGATCCTAGTGTCCACTTTTATACATGTTCTCTTATATCTAACACTTTTACACATACTTTCAAACTATATTTTTATCCCACACTTGCTAATCACATTAAAATCAAACATTCTTTAGTTTATATAAAAGGAGGCTGTTTAGATTTGATGAAAATGAAAATTGGAATGGGACCATCTCAACACACAAGGGATAACCTTGTGGTTGGTTGAATTCCATTGCTGATTATTAATAAGATGTTCAGAGATTGCAGACACGGACATATTGGAACACTTATACAAATTTCACCAATCCATGGAAATCTTAAGTAAATAGGATATTTATTGGGACTTAACACAGTTGATTTTGGGAATTGTGCAATCTTAGCACAAATGCTAGATTGCATCACATCCAAAAGATGGCAATTATCACAAAAGACATTAATAAATTCTAATTCAGAACTGATCTATCTTAGAACATATGGCATGACTTTTTTTTTTTTTTTTTTTTTTTTTTTTATACAAGGCCCAAGAGCCACTCAAGGAAGGAGTTTGTCACAGGACTGGTAAGAGATGCAATTTATGAAAATATGTAGGAAAGATAACCCGTTCAAGTCTAGAGCTAACCATTAAGATTGTAGCAGTTGGGAAGGCATCATCTTGCGAGTTGATTCCACAAAGGAGTAATTCTTGGGAAAGAAGCTGTGGAACTTACTTCTCACTAATGGGATATTAAGGGAATGAGGGTGTTTTGCTACTGTCTACATAGCATGGCAAACTCTAGCCGTGAAGGTTAGAACTGGTGGAACTATGGAACGTAGCTAGTCTGAAAAATTTCCATAGAAATTGCGATAGAGTAAAGAGAAGCATGCAACATTTTGTTTGTAGGAAGGGATTGTAAAGTGGAAAATAATTCATTACCCACAAGGCTGCATAGATGCTTCTAGATCTACTATCAAGACTGCAAAGTGAAGACTAAATAGCTCTTATTTGGCAGCAGTATGTCATTTTCAGCCTGATCTGGCTCTTGTAAAAGGTACAGCATAGCAGGAAGAGGCAAGTACTTTCTAGAGCTGTACAAGGAAGCAACCTTTTTTTTTTCTCTTTAGCATTTTTAGTGAGGGATCGTATATAAGAGTTCTACTTGAGGACTGGGGTGAAAAGTCCCAAAAGGCATTTAAAGCAAGGAGTCGCCTTGAGAGAAAACCTGTTCATTGTGATGGGTGAAAATTCCAGGTCTGCTTAGTGATAATGGAATGTTACTAATTTGGTTATTGAACTGCTGAATGTGAAAAGCTAGTTTTTGCTGCAATTTAGTCATTAGAGCTAGTGCAGAGACGAGATCAGCTGCCAAGGCTCTGGTCATGTACAGTTTTAGAGGTGCACCCATATATCATTGTATCATAATGTAGAAAGAAGATGAGATCCAGAAGTGATCCCTGGGGATACCTGCATTGATCTCAATGGCCTTATGGACTGACCATTAACATCTACCTTCATGGACCTACCTTTTAGAAAGACTCTTCCAGTGATTCCATAACTGAAGAAATTTTGTAGCAACTCCTTATGACATGCCTTGTCAAAGGCATTCGATATATCTAATGCAATCATCATTGTGATGTATTGTCTAATGTCACACTGGTTTGGTGAGTAGTAACAGTTAACATATCAGCAGTGGACTGACCAGATTTAAATCTGTATTGTTAGCCACTCAAGTGGTTGTCCTTGTTGAGGTTATCCAGAACCTTTTTGTTGATTATCACTTCAGAGTTTGCTGTTGACAGCAAGGAGATTGATGGGTTGTTACTGAGACGGGGATGAGTGATCACCAGCATTCTTGAAAACAATGCATACACTTGAGACCTTCCACAAACATGGGTGCCTTAATAAAATTGATTTTGTGTTGCTTAGGACACAATGAGTCCCAATGGATATATAGCCTGGTAAAGTGGGTTTCTGGTACATTGAAGTAACAATATAGTAATGACAGTCAAACTTTTTTTTTTTTTTTTTTAGGGGCTACGCGTGTTGCATAGCACATTCAGCTTGGCGCAAGTGTATATATATATATAAAAAATACTGAAATAATGAACATACAGTCCAATCTGGCACTTCGTTGTCTGACTTTTTTTTAAAAATCAGCCACCACAGTTCATTGAGCAGCTATGTTGTTTACAACTTTCTGCAGTAACAGAGTGTTTTGGGGATATGGTCTTGCTAGTTTTTTATATATTCAGGATAGTAAGTATATATTAGTTTTTGGTTTTCTTTTTAGCCTTTGATATATAATTCAATAAATCTTAAATTCAGAATAATTAAAAAAAAAAACTTCTCATTTGATGCAAGTAAATATTTTGATGTTAAACAGGTAAAATAAAAAATAAAAGCAATGAAAAAAAAAAAGTATCATTTCACTACTTTTTTAATTAATTTATCCTGTATCGCCAAGAGCTTTAAATTGTTAAGTATTTTCCCCATACAACTGTAACTTAATTTTTCATTTCTATTAAGGATTTTTATATATATGTATACACACACACACTCTTGTTTAATCTGCTATATTTATGAGAAAGAATGCTCATTATCAGATTGTAGATATAGATAGTGTTAACCTAGAAATCAGCCCTGCATTCTCAGTAATGATTTTTCAGACATTTTCTAATAGATAATTATTACATACACTTTTTTTTTTAATCTACACAGAGGTATATTATTATGGAGTTCTTATTTTATTTTACTTACCAGTCCAAGTGAAGGAAGGAAACTTAGTCATGTCTTTTCCCTCAGCGTTATGTGCCCTGCTTACTTTGATTAGTTCATCTTCCAAAGACTTCTTTACTTCATTAGTTGCATCAACAAGTTCACCCCCAGCAGCCCTAAAAAATACAAGAGAAACAAATATGAAGGATTTATTGATTAAGTTGATCATTTGGGATACTATTATGCATATTTCAATGTAAAAACTGACTTACAAATGATTTCAATTTCAGGCTCTTCACAAAAAAAAGCAAAGAAAACCTCAAATAGTTGTAAATGATTTTCACAGTAGGAGGGGTGATAAAAAGTTCTTGATTGATCCAATAATGAATTAAAAAAAAAAAAAAAAAAAAAAAAAAAATCTGATGTTTGATCAGATTTTGAGAAATTTCCAGCAGTCCCCAGTAGATATCGACAGTAAACTTTCTTACATATTGGTTATGCCAATTCATTTAAACAATTAGTTCCAACGAAGTCAATTTAACCATAGAATGTGACAAATATACTCTAATATAAAAAATTTCATTGTTCATAATAAAAAAATATTCTTTAAAGTGATAGAATAAACTATTTTACAAGTTATCCAATTTGAAAAATAAAATTATTTATTCATTAATAAAAATATAAAGTTATATTTTTATTTTTTGAGGAAAAGTCTTTTTTCATTTAAAATCTAATATTTCATATCTTGTAATGAAGAATAGAAAACAGCCTTTTTTGCCTGTAATTTTTTTTTACTCTTACATAAATTTGTACTTTTATTTCATCCAATAGTGAGAAAAGATTGGGCAAAAGAATATGAATTTTTAAAAATAAATATACAGAATCATTTCTCCCACAAGGGAACTAGAAATCTTATTAAAAGTTGATTGACTGTATAGCAGAAATTTTTACTAAAGTTTCGAAAACAAAAGTTTTCTTTTAGTTTCAAGCAAGAGACATCAACTTTGACCAAGAGCAATTTCCAACGACTGAACCAAATTTTGTATTTCATTCTTGCAATGAAAAATAGTTCATGTATTTTAATTTATTCAAACTATTATTCCCACCTTGATTATTGTAGACGTTGTTATTGATAGTGACTGATAGCAACACATTTAACCAAATGTGGTACAAACATACCATGAACAAATGTCAAAACTGACATCGGATTTAAGGATTTCAAAAATACACAACTGATGTCCTTTTGAACATCAGTTGTTTAGCAAATATAGACAGGAGTTCTATCCATGAATCAGGTAATAAACTATATACACTGGTCCAGGAATGAACAAGAAATGTCATCACAAAAATAACAAAATCATCTGATATCCTCCATCAGGAAAAACAACATATCTGATGATGGCCAGAGGGTATTTAACCAAAATGTTATATCCACAATAATCAAGATGATAACTATTGTTTGAATAGATTATACTGAACTTTTCTATAAATTAAAGAATATCAAACACTTAAAATTCCATAGGTAATAATTTTTATTTCATGCAAGCTTTGATTGAAGAAAGGAAAAAAAAAAAAAATTTTGATACCAAAATCAGCTAAGATTTTCAAAGAAGAAGGATATCTTTATCAGCTAAATATTTAAATATTCTTTGGCAAAGAACAATATAGTTTGATGTCAAGAGAAAACATTTTACAACACTGACATAAGCTACCAGTATATTTTCAGGCCCTTTATAATGGCAATGCCATTCGTATATGCCACTTTATGAAACAGAATGACATTTCAAAACTTGTTTGTAACAAACATTTTACAACATTAAAATAACCAAATATAAAAAGGCTAAACATATTCTGACTGGAATTACATTAAAAGAACAAACATTTTTCCGTCATCCGATTAATCCTTAAATCCAAATCACAGAACAATATCCCCTATAAATTCAGTGGCTGTGAAACCAAACACAGGGAGAAAAAAAATGCAATGCAATAAAATCTTAAAATGTATTAAAAATAATCACCATCTTACCAGATACACTCATGCATAAGTCAACAGTGTGACTGAAATTTTAATCCCTCCAAACTGGTCCTCAAAAAAAATGCACGATTTTTAACCTCTTTAAAAAAAAATTTACACAATGTGACCCCCTATTTGTTTTAGTGTGAAAAAGCTGATCAGAAAAACTCACTATATTCTAGCATATATGGTATTTCTTTATCTGAAACTTTCAAAATTCATGTATGACCATAAAATTTTTCTTGCATGCAGCTGCACATCTTTGACTATAAAAGTTTACTTCAATTTCAATTATAAAAACAATTCTTTTTAAGTAATCTAATGCTGTTGAAATGACAGTGTAATTGCCTTATAAATTGTTTTTTTTTTTTTTTAAATGACATATAAAAAAGTAATCTCATCTACTTTACTGAAACATCTTTTGATTATACGTTTGTGAAAATCTACCCTTTTGCGTTGTGTCTGTAAAGAAAGAAAAAGCCGAATAGAATCAAGTAGTATTTTTTTTTTCTTTTTTTAAATATTAGTAACTTAGTTTGGGCTTTTATCAAATGTCAGCAGTAAAAATGTGTATTCAACAGACATTTCAGTTAAAATGTTAAACTTTCAGACTTCAGAAAACATTTTCTAAAACTTGAGATGAAATAAAATATTGGAGATAAAATAATTAATGTTTAAGACATTTCTTCAAAGCTTTCCATTTTTTTGACACCATGAATTAGCCCATTTTAAATAGCAATTTCTAAAATTTATTAAAAAAAATAAATAAATTGTAGATATTTAACATAGTTAAATGTCATGCAGCAAACTGTACTCAAATTGTGAAATGTACACCTGCTTCCAAATCTTAGCCTCAAGTTCCTCTGAGAACAAATATGTAGTCATTGCTAGAGAGTTCAATTCTTGATAATTGCTACACTAATGTGAAACTTTATGCCATACTAGGTTAAGTCTAATAATTATTTACAAATCCTTGCCTTTACCTAGACTCAAACAGTATTTGATGAGTGGATGACATAGTAAACATGTTAATCTTTATTTTTTGTATGGTAGCAGGAGCGTGAATTTAAAATTAGGATAACTGAGCTTGATAAGCCCAACAACTCACTTAATGGAAGACACTACAGTTGAAGCTCTATGACTGATAATCCAACTGAATGTGACTTTAGAATGTCAAATATGGTGGCAGAGAAACAATATCATTCAACACACAATCATCAAAAAACAATTATTGTAAACAGACCTGTAACATAAATTAGGATTTGAATAAATCCAAGTCATTTCAAATAAAAGTTATTTTTTTTTAATTTTTTTTTTAAAGGCTATGGTTACATACAGAAAACCCAATGATAAACCACTATATATACACACATCTTCCAATCACCCGCCTTCTATAATCAAACAAATACCAAAACTGATTGACCATAGACATTCAGACAATTCTTCCAATGAAACCATATCTAATGAAGCTAAGAAAGCCTACAAAACAGCCCTAAAAGATAGCAATACTCATACTTACCACAGAGCACAAAAAAGCCGACATGAAGAAAAATATCATATGGCTCAACCCACCATACAGCAAAAACAAAGACAAATGTAGGAAAAATATTCTTCAAACTCTTACACAAGCACTTCCCGGAATGAAGCACTCTATACAAAATATTCAACAAAAACATTATAAAAATCAGCTACAGTTGCATCAAGAACATGACACAAATAATAAAAATGCACAACAGGAAAACTATCAACAAACCACCCGAACAAATTAAACCCACATGTAACTGCAGAATAAAGAATGAATGTCCTTTAAATGGTAATTGCCTACAAAACAATGTAATATACCAAGCCATGGTAAAAATCACCAGATAATGAAGAAAAAATATACATAGGAGTAACTGAAGGACTCTGGAAACAAAGAAACTATGCACACAAAACATCTTTCACAAATAGTAAATACATGAACAGCACAATACTTTCTAAGTATATCTAGGAATTTAAAAACAAAATGCAAACCACACCAAAAATATCATGAAAAATTATCAGCCTACAGCAATCAATCCAAAACCGGCAAACTTTGCTTGGAGGAAAAAAATAGCTATTATTACCTTCCCAGACCAAAACAAACCACTAAATAAATGATCTGAACTCATCTCTCACTCATGAAAACAAATTTTTACTATGTTACTTAAAAATCAAAAACTGAAAAACACAAGTAAAATAAATTAACCCAAGCAAACAAATTAACAAACCACTCCTGTTAGAATAGACTACAACACTCAATCCAAAAAATTGGACAAAAAAAAAAAAAAAAAAAAAAAAGCTATAACTGCTATATAAATGATAAAAAGAAAAAATTTGCTGCGTCACTTTCAATCTATCACACAGGAGTTGAAAGGTTTTGCTTGAAATTCTGAGAAGGTTACCAAATCTGAAGACAAAGATATCTGAAGAAGGCTGGAGAGTACAATGACCAAGATGTGAGTATAACAATCAAAATTGTCACATGCTGGTCAGTACAGTAAAGCAAATAATAACCTCCTAACATCTTTGTTTATTCACAATGCCTAGTGTGTACCTATTTTCTCTGGTACTGAATCTAATACTCCAATATAGAAACAAAATTAAGAGTCCAGCAAGAGACTTAGCAAAGGAGAAAAAAAAATCCACCTACCAAATTGTTACAAAAAAAAAAAAACTGAGTTTTGGAAAATATTGATTACCATCTTCCTATGCCTTTTCAGCCACCAACAGGGCTAAAATTATCACTGCTATAACTAATGTTCCCAGTCTAGCTGACAAGTTTATTATGGTCTCAGAATTATCCTCCCAAACAGAGTTTGTCTCTCCTATTGTATTTATCCTACTGCTCAAAATTAATTCTCTCCACAGACTTTAATCACTCCAGTATTTTCTTTAATGCTATCTCTTTACTTTTGGTTTGTATAATTCTGGCCAATTGCTCATATTTGTCTCAATTTCATAAATGACTTCTTGTCTAACTTTTCTTCAGTCTGATATGGTGGGAGAGAGGTGGAGACTCCAAATGCTGAGCATCCTAAAAGCATTTCCATCATAGACAACGGGAGTATTACCTTTGTCTCAGTGGACTTACCCTTACATACTTTCAATAATTCAACCTCACTCTGGATAGCAAATACCCAGATTCCATCAGATATACTTATAGCTTGTGGCAACAGTATCTGTCAATACTTCTAGCTATTTTTCTTAATACCATCTTTATCCCCTTTTAAATAATTTGAGAACACACAGCCTGTGATTATGTACCATGTAAATTGGACTCACTGATGCACATGTTCCTAATGCATCAATTTTTACACATTCTTGCCTCTTCATTCATTAATAACAAACTTTGTTCTCGCCAAATTCAGGGCTGCTTCGATTTTAGACTTAGCAATCACTCCCAACCTCTGTTCTACCCCAGGGTATGGAATGGGTAATTTTACCACTTGATATATCTCAAAAGTACTAACCCTATCTAACAATCAGACAGACATTAACACCAATAACTTGTTATTTTTCAACAATGTAACGGCCCAAAAGCATTATAATATTTCCATAACTTTTCAGTAGGATCTACTGGTAATCTTAAATGGTAAGGTAATTCAGTTTGTATTTTTTAATAATAATCCTCTAAGATGACCTGTGGTTACTATACATGGTGATAAATGTCCTAATGATAACATTTACTTGCACTCTGACAATGTTATTACGGACTGACTAGTCTGACATGTCTTATTAGTAATTGTCATTAATTGAAGATATCCCTGAACGAAATTATTGAATCGTTGGAATTCAGTAAGTCATAGTCTCAGACACACTGGCTACCTATTCTCACAATGTTTGTATATTACCTATTAAGTAGTTTATTTTTCCACTGTTCTCAGCTAATTCTAACCTCATCACATTCAATATAGACACACTCTTCCTAGCAACCTGTGCTAAGAACCTTTAATTCTTCTCTACCTCTTTCAATTTTCTCCTTATAACTTTCACATCTTCAGACATTGCCCCAAATATAAAACACTTAACACTTTACTAAAGAAACTACAGCTCTTTATGACCTTGTTTGTAACAATTCAACCCCCTTTAAATAGCTTTTCATATCCTTTCACTGAAGTTTTATTTTCATTTCATGTTCTAGAGAATACAATAATCTGATGTATTTCCTAATCTTCTGGAGGGAGTAAATCAGAAAAAAGGAAAAGGAAAAAAAAATTCCCAATATTTTTATTAATAATAAAAATTATCTTTCTGTTAGAAAGATCACACAGCTTTTGCCTATGATCACTAATTAGAGAAAATCCAGATGGCCAGCCAATTCCTCCAAATTGTTTATCCAACAGTCATTGTACTTTTATTTTAATTATTTTATTTTTTAATACACTAACCTCTCAAAAGAATGCAATTCAACCCTTTCATACGTTCTGCAACCTTTTTCTACCTTCTAGGCTTCTGTATTTTAAGAATTATGGACATTAGCTTTTATCAAAATTTCTTAAAGATGTTACTATTAGATACTAAATGCTTTCATGAACTTTGACTTCTTTAATAGTTATTTCATTTACTGTAGTATCCCCTTCAAGTGTTTATTGCATTTTTTAATCTTCCAAGAAAATGAAACAAAAATGGGATATGACATTCTCATTCTTCTACCCTTTCACATCAAATGTCTTTCTTAGATAATTTCAGAACATCCAGTACTTGTTGATTTCTCATCTGTACTACCTAACCCAGGGATCTAACTTATGAACTCAAAGGAAGCAAATGATCTTTACAAGTACATCTTATTCAATAGGCCATGAGAGCACTCAAATAGTAAATTTTGTGAACTATAGGAAGAACATTGGATGGTAAGGAATGAGGACAACATATTCCTGGGGATCAAACAAGGGGCTCTGTTCAACATTCACATATTGTTACCAAATGTGACCAACTCCCAAAAAAGCTGGAGATTGCAGCAACCAAAATATTATAATAAAGACAAGTTCCTATTAAAAATGATTCTGACATCTAGTATGGGAAATTGCATTTCTCTATTTAAAAACCATTTCATCTTAAGGCAATAAAGCCACTAAGATGCAAGGTGTTACTGAGTGGGAAAGAATATAAGAAAAAAAATTATTAGCGAGAAAGAGAATAGGCAAACTTGGATCTTTGTGCAAAAAAAGAAAAGAAAAAGTGAAGCATCAAAAGGAGATTTTTCTCCTTGACACTGCAATTATTTTAACTACCTTCACTACTCAGCAATGTTTGTAAATTCTCAAGAACAAAAAAATGTTTAAATTCACTTTCATCACGTTTAGGTTTCAGACCAATTATAATCATTGCTTTTTAAAACAATAAATAAACAGTGTCAAGGAGTGAAGGTAGTTAAAATAATAATAGTGGTATCAATGGAAAAACTGTCCTCTTGACAGTTTTTTTGCAGGCCTGAATGTTCAAGTTTGCCGAACAATATAATTACATCTTACTTGTTTCAGCAATATGTATTTATATGTAGATTTAAATTACAAGGAATGTATTGTTTCCTATTTAATGTCATGGAAGCTAGAACAGATACTGGAAGTACAATAACACAGGTAAATAGAGAAAATTTTCAGTGATAAAATGCTATTTTTTCATATAATCACCACTATGGCTATACATTTTTAAGGCAAATTTTATTTTGTGAATGTTAGCTGTGTAGGGCTATGTAGAATGTGGTTTGTCATATATACTGCTGTCACCACTACTGCCCACACCTCCCCAACCCACAGAGTTTGACTCCTGTCAATGTTCAGCAAGTGTCAGTAGAAGCAATGTTTTTCCACATGGAGGAATTCAATGATACACTTCTGTTTCATAGGCACTTACATGTCAGATGCTATTTTGCTAAGATTGATTGATTTGTATTTTTTGTTTTATCAATCTGTCATAGGTTATTTAAAGCTAAAATATATTTGGATTGTAAAATTTTTTTATTTTGTGAGTGAATGATTCCTTAACTTTTTTTTGGAGAATAACAATGACCTCTCTCTCTCCACCAATACAAGACCTACTATTTAACCTATAGGTGGAAGGAAGATATGAATTCATACCTTTCCTAACATGATAAAATAGGATACATTACTTGGTGAATGATCTTTCTATAATGGCTGGCTAGTACCCATTTCCAAGCACACCTGTCTAACAGCTAGCCAAAGCCGATTACAGACACCTGCTCTGTTATTTATATTGCAACTATGTTGAGCAGATCTTAGTTACAGTTTCTGGGGAAGAGAGAGAGAGTGCATAATCTGACGTGATCAATTGCTTTAACACCTTAGTGACTTGTATGCAAGCACAGGCACTGACAACTTCCAAAGAGTTCAGTTTACCCAATTTTATTCAAGGCTTCAATAAATTTGTGGTGTGGTTTATAGGCACTTTCCAAAAGTGCCACATAATGGGTTTAGCCCCACAGGCCAATAGCATCAGAAAGTTACTTCCCTGACAAATCACCTTTCATGAGATTTGGCTCTATGGGTTTGATAATCAGAAAATAAACATTCTAACCACTTGATCATATGCCCATAACCCTTGTATATATGCAAAATAATAAAAAAGAATAAGAAGTGTGTGTGTGTGTGTGTGTGTGGGATGGGGATTTACTCACTTGCTTTTCTTTGCATAATCCCTGATTTTGTCAATGAAAAGTTGCTGAATTGGATCTAATGAAACAGCTTGTTGGAGGGCAGGTGCTGAAATGTAAATGTTACGCTTCAGATGAATTCTCACTGTCCCACCAGCATTGCTTAAGATCCTGGCCAACATTTTGAAGCTGAAAAGAACAAAAAAAAAAAAAAAAAAAAAAAAAAAAAATTTTACTCAATATTGAAACAATTCATTCAAGTGTCAATATTTCTTTTTTTTCTGGGATGAGGAGTTATCATTTACATTCAGACTAATTAATATCCCCATTGCTGTCATTATCATCACATTTTGGCTGTTATGCCCTCTAACCCTCTTCAGAGGTGTTTATTGATATTTTGAACTGAAATGTTTGTTTAACCTGCAGGGCTAGAGAGTTCTCATTTCACTGAACATATTTAAGGATATTTAGTTTTGTTCTTTTTTCTATGCTGCTCAGTTATTACAAGTTTTGTTTTCATCAAGCCTGAGTCTATACTACCTGGATCAGGGATTGAACTCACAAACAAAAAGAAGAAAAACCAGATATCCCTAGATGTGGAAAATAGGACAAGATCATTTGACTTCTGTCAATTAAATAGTGTTCAGTTCGAAATTCCCTGAAGATTACCCAGATTGACAGACGCTCAAAGGCGACTGGTGAGTACAATAGCCAAAGTCATGTGATCACAAAGATAAGGACATTATTCCAAATGTAAACACTACGAATATTGCTAAGCAGAAAATAGATTGTTTTCAATTAAAAGAAAAACATTTTTTTCTTTAACAAATTCAGATTTGCATCTTACTACAAAATTGCATATTTTCCAATGATACAAGAGATCAATGTTAAAACCCAAATGTATGTATGGGCCACACACACACACTCTGAACGATGATTTTAAAGTCAGGTAAAGAGGCTGTCTGTAACTTGGAAGATTTATCCTATTTTTCTATTCCCATTCCTCCTAATTTGGTTTTGCAGGATCTCACTCATGATTTCTTGTTTACATTGTACACAGCTGTTTAAAACGCTTGTTTTTGTACTATAGGAAAATCCAACATGACGCTTGAACAAAATAGTCGGCAAAAAATCGCATTCATCAGTAACATTTTAAACCCCTCATAGAATGCAAAGTTCTCAAAGCAAACCTGCGCCAAACTGTTTTCCTGAATCCTTGATGACTTGGCTGTCCAAAAATGACATCAAGATGAAATAATGGAAACTGACCATGAAAAACAATTATGTGCAACAAGTTTTCGATCAATCAGTTAACTTCTAGATGTTTTGGGACAATATAGGATCCAGATGACTATTATTTGCACATGGAATTATTCACTGGTAATTAACCTTCGATTTGGCTGTGAAAAATGTCACTTGGGTGGGTTAGCATTAAAAAATTAAGGCCAATTTTCTGAGAAAACTCACCTTGTTTTTTTTATGAAAAAATATTTTTTTTTCACTTCAAAACATTTTTTTTCAAACTTCAATCCTTTCTCTTTAAGTTGGTGTGAACATCATTGAATAAAAGGAACCGCTATATGAACCAACGATAGGAAATATGAAGAACATGCGGTGAAAAAAAACAATATCTGCTAAGTGTTGTTGTTATCATCACCCACGTCATGAGGTGTTAAAAAACAAAACAAAACACATCAAGCCATTGTTCAAACATAGGTTTGAATAAACACATATCAAACCCTTTTTACCAATATTTTGTCTTTCCCCCTCCCACTCTTTGCGCTTATCTTGTAAGTGGTGGGATTTACAAGATGATGACAGCTTGTTCAACATTAATTGCTGGCTGGCTGGCCTTTGACGCAGACATGTCAAAGTCAATTTGGTTTAATTTTCCTTATTGCTACTATAAACTCCTGGTTTCCGGTGGTCAGGAATTGCAGATAAATCTTTCGGCTTTTACTAAAGATTTCCGTAGCCGGGTGTCAATTTTTTTTTAACCCCTGGTGGCTATATAATTGAAAATTACCAACAGACTTTGTCACATTTTGACCCCCTCAGAATGTTGTTTTCCTTCAAACTCTCAATTTTATGCCTGAAATAGTTCGATCATGATTTAGGCTTTCCGATTTAAAAAAAAAAAAAAAAAAAAAAACGCAAAATTTTCACTATTTTTTCACATTTTACCCCCTGAAAAAAAAAAAAAAATTGAGACATTTATAACAGCCAATTTTACTTTTAAATGAAAGAACATATTGTTTGCTTTCAGAAAATACCTAATTTGATGGGGGCTCAGATCAAAAGTTTCCTTGATATTTTGTTCAGATGATGACAAAACAGTCATTTTTCAACCCCCCCCCCCAACACACACAATAAAAGTACGAAAATCCATTTTTTCAGAGAAAATAAGCTGTGACAAAATGACTTGCCACTTTTTTTTGGTGATTTTTTACCTGGGATAGAACATCTTTACCATAGCAAACCTGACTTGACTTTATTTAAGTTTAGAAGGACTACAGGAACCCTCAAAGATCATAAAGAAACACTTTATACAAACAATTAAATAGCAATGTTCATGTGATTAATGCCAAAAAGTGAAGTGATTTTGCCTTTATTCACATTAACATTGCTATTTAATTCTTTGCATAAATTATTTATAATTTGAAATATAAGCTGCACCCACTAATTTATGACATCAGATCCACATTACAGTAATAATCATAATCTTAAATTCTGGGGAAAACTACTAAAACATTTTTACTCTAATTGGATTATACTTAAGTCCATGTCACTTTAACAGATAAATACACATAAGAAAATTTTGTGGATTTATATCTTTTCAAAATTCTCACTTGATCGATTCGAATAAGAACTCTAGCATCACGATATTGAGTCACCACCCCCCACGAGGGTGTCATGTGGCACAAGGCTTTTTTAACGTGGGCATTCCGAGCCCATGGGCTCGGCCAAAAATATAAAGGAAATGATGAACCCGTATAAAATTTCAGGGCCGGGTTTACCTCCCTGAAGGAGACTCCGCCCTTGGCGGAAATGTCCTTTGGGTTCCTCCCGTCCGTAGGAAGAGTGTTCAACCGAGCAGTCTGTTCAAAAGTGAACTACTGAACTCTAGCATCACACACCCCAAGACATATATTCAACTGTCAATAAATAGCCTAATTTAAAAAAACATCTTTCGGTCTACACATTTCATCTTAGTGTTTGCCTACATATGGAAAAAAAATCACGCCTTGAAGATAATTTGAAATTGTCAAAAGTACTTGGCAAGTATCTCCCATCTGACAACTTGAATATAAGGGTATTATCATTCAAGGAATTGATAGTAAGTTAATGTCTCATTAAGTCTTGTTAGCAAAGTGATTCTGCTATTAATCACATTAACATTGCTATTTAATTCTTTGTATAAATTGTTTCTTTATACAAAATATAAGCTGCACACACACGTGTGTGTGTAGGCTTTGTTAAAAACTGTACTGTGATTAGGCTTTTTAATTTCTCGTGTTCATACAACTCATAAATAATGTTAGTTCTTTGTAGTTTTGATATTGCAGGTGTGTTATTTTTTAGGATAAGGTCAGCTGTTTTAAATTTTTTATAATAGACAATTTAATTTTTTTTGTTTGGATCAACTGGGGTAGTGTATTTCTTTGATATTTCTAAGTAAAGATTCATTATTTATGAGTTCAAATACCCCTTAAGGAACTGTGTTCCTGATCAAACCAAACTCATAATTACATTGGTCACACTACCACATGCCTATCCAGACGACTTATGTTACACCTATCCAACCACAGCTCCATTAAAACTCATTTAAAACACGCACAAACCTAAAAGACTCCATCAGAAACATACTAGTAAGAAATACAAGCATAATAACCTCATCCATATGTTAAAAAAAAAAAAAAAAAAAAAAAAAGTTTAAAAATAATGGAAGCCCAAATAATAACAAAAGACAACATTCAATGACATTAACTACGAACATGGCCACAATGTGCTGACAGTGTTTGTAAAATAAAACATCACTATAACTCTAGATATATACATACAACCCATACACTCAGTTAAAAAGTAAAAATAAAGTCATCATTGGTAATGGCTAAATGTATAACTGAAAGCACTTGGAAATGCAGAATATTTGGACAATTTTTACACACTGTGTCCAGAAAAGAAAACACCTGTATAAACAAAAGAAAAATTAAATAAAAAGCTTAATTATAGTACCTTGTCAGTCAGCTTTAATGAAACATTTATAAAAGAGGGATTGCTGCCTAAATACACACATATATATATATATATATATATATCTAAAAACAAACAAACAAAATGAAATGTTCACTTGTCACTATTCAGAGCTTTGCAGAGATTACATCCACTTGTCAGGGAACTTGATTTTAAATTTATTTTCAGAAATTATATCATAGAAAGAAAAATATGATTTCTCTTCAAAAGAAAATTAATTCTTTATTAAATATTTAATTAAAATCCAATAATTACTTGATTTTTGGTAAAACTGTTTTGTTTTTTTGTCTAAAAGTTTTCTAATGTAAATTATATATATATATATATATATATATATATATATATATATATATAAAACAGGTTTTTTTTTTTACAAATATCTCTGATTTTATAAGAGTGTATACATACATTTTATGATAATTTTTTTCCAATCTTTCTTCATGACAAATCTTTGACAAATAAAATTTAATTTTATAAAATTTTTTTTTCTAAATGTGTCAATTTCCTGTTGAAATTTTTTGTTCATACTTGGAACTATTTATATAGAATTTACATAGTATTTTAAATAAGTAAGATGATTTAAAGTATGCAGGTAAATGCACTTAGGTTATACATAAATACAATGCCATCATATAGATGATGGATTTCAGCATCCACAGACAGCCCTGGGACCAATCTCCTGCAGATAACATAGGTACCTCCACAAGATCGCTAAAAAAAGATCATAGCATGATGAAAAAGACGCCAAACTTGACGAAAACAAAATTTTATCGTCTAAATGTTTGTTATTATTAAGAGGAAAGGTCAAAGTATTTTTGGGGTATTTTTTTCCATTTTTTAATCGTTCCTAGCACGTCCGAAATTTTCGTTAAAAATCTAGTTTTTTTTGAGTCAGCAAAATTGACCATTTTTTCCATTTTAAAAAAAACTGGAAA